ATTTTAAAAAGCAGAATAGTGGACCTATAATAGGAGCTCAGGAGGACAGGAAATGGATGCAGTAGTGATCCTCTGAGCCTCACTGAAACCAACCAGTGAGGGGCGGATGGAGCAGCTCATCCTCCTCCACTCTTACTAATAATAGAAAAAGAAAAGCTTGGATAAAGTTCCCAGATCTCTTAGAGCCTCATCCAGCGTAGAAACCGTCCCTCTGCCTTTAGGGTTGTTTTTCTTTTCTTAGTTCTCGGGTTATTTATTAATTTAGGCTTATGAACAATCTCCATCCTCTCTGGTTTGAGATGCTGCACAGACTCGTCAATGGGGCTTTGCTTTACAGCTGTGCTGGTGGGCTTTTTTTTTTTTAATCTTTTTTTGGGGAATTTTAATAAGTTTCCATTATCTTTCAAATGTGGGAAACAGTTTTAACATGTTTGGCAGGGAGATAGAAGCTAAATACATCTCATAACTGCCCACCCCAGTCAGATCCTCGCTATACGCAGTCGGTGTAACATGGAAAAAAAAATCAGACCATCCACTGAGTCCAGGCCTCTGGATGAGAGGAGGAGACCTGAACAGTTGCTGTTTAAAAGATGTTGATTATTTGACTCCAGCTGACAGCTAATCCAGTTCATTTGTTGGGCACTACAATATTCATCTTTTGCTTCTCTGTATTTTTCTGGGCACTTTAACAAAACCATGAGATTTTTGCAATAAAGTTTTTAATGTCTCTGTGATGAAATGTTGAAAATCCATTTGCACATTAAGTGGATTTGAGATTGTTAAATGCCTGAAAAACCCACATGTTGAAATGAAACTTTTTTGATTGATCAACAACCTGGTCCTTTGCTGTTCATGATACCCAGTGCCACCAACCAGTACTTGACCTTGGCTGAATTTAATGGAGTGAATAATGGCAGATCTGGACGACAGCATGGAGGGAATCCTTCATACTTTACATGATGCAAACATTTCACATAAACACACATTGTTCTTGGCCACATTGACGAGGTGCAGCTGCACTGTTCTGACTCCAGATGCTGTTCATGTTCTGGATTATTGATTGTTGATTTCACATTGAAGTGACTCGGATCTAGCCGCTTAAGTGTAGTAGCCATTTCTACGGTCTTGGCTTTAGAGAAAAAAGCCAAAGCTGATACTTTAGGATACACCAAGTAATAATGCAGTGCCTTCCAAAACGATCCTTACCCTTTGGGTTTTTTCCACTATGTTTCATCCTAACAACAAATCTTAGTGTGTTTCTGAGGCTTGGGCTGCTGCATCCACATGATTCAGGTCCACTACTGTCAGAAGAAAAATTACACGTTTGTTTCCATGGTGATTTTTTTAAACAAATAAATATCTAAAGTGTGGTAAATGTTTGTGATTTATTTATTCTAAGAGCTACTGTTCCAGTAATAAATATATGGTTGAAATAAATAACTTGCCCCTGAGGACAGGGTGCAGTGATGGACTCATAGCTGAACCTTCAGAGGGTCATAAAGACAAGAAGAAAGTCAGCCTATCACCTTTAGATCTCCAGGATTAAAGGACTAATTTATTCCTGGAAAGATTTAATATATATATATATATATGTACTGTATGTATAAGATACAAAACCACTGTTCTGGCAAGGGGGAACCAGGACCCCAGGTCAGAGGGGAGTTAACACCAAACTCCCCACCAGAGATTGGGTACAACCATGCTGAGTGAGGCAGCAACTGACCTGCAAAATAAGATGGCAATAGCACACAATAGTGATGCATAGTGGTTGGTGGGTCTGAGAGAGGACCTCGTCAACCTCCCTGAACAGAATCCATACACCATCACAGTGGCAGACATCCAATAAAGAGCAGGCCCCGATATCATACACGCCTACTGGCTTAAGAAACTCACCACACTTCATGAACGCTTGGCAGCACAAATGAACCAGCTGCTGAGAGATGGGAGCCACTGTGAATGGCTAACCGAAGGGTGCACAATCCTGATCCTGACAGAACCCTCAAAGAGTATGGCCTCTCCATAACCTGCCTCTCCACAACATGGACGCTCATGTCCAGGATCATAGCGGCTAAGATAAGCACATGGATCAATACATGAGCAAAAATTGGCAAAAATACCAAAGGTGCCAAACATCAGCTCCTGGTAGACCGAGCAGTCGCTCGAGACCAGAAACACTAACCTGAGCACTGCCTGGATTGATTACAAGAAAGCCTACGACTCAATGCCACATACTTGGATCACCGAATACTTGAAGCTATACAACATCAACAACCCAAGAGCCTTCATTGCAAACTCAGTGAGGTTGTGGAAAACCACCCTAGAAGCCAATGGCACAAGTCTCCATCAAATGTGGTATATACCAAGGAGATGCGCTGTCCCCACTGCTGTTCTGCATAGGTCTGAACCTCCTCAGCCAAATAATTAAAAAGACTGAGGAGGCCTTTGGAATGAGCAGGCCCCTGGTGCTGAAAGGCACTGGAAGAGAATCGGAATCAGATATACTAATTCTATAATTAATTATAATAATTCCAGAAATAAATTACTTAAAGAGGGAAATTAAAAAAGTCAAAGAACATTTTAGTCAACACTGTAAATAATAGAACTGCTGCACACACTGCTTTTTTAACAAATATATTACACTGTACAGCATAAAATTTCTTCACACACAGCTTCTCTTTTCTCTGTTTTATTTATGTAACACTGTGCAGAATAGAACTTCACACTGATTCTCTTTTTAACATATATCCCACTGCACACATTGAACTTTTTGTCGGCTTGTTTCATCATATCCACAAAGTCTTCATCCTTAATGGTCTTTGCAGGCAGGTCAGAACGCCCAATCCACTTTGCCACTGAGTTCTCCAGGGCTTTCTGCTCTTTGGCGTCAGGTTTGTATGGTGGGGGGGCTCCCAACATCTCTGCAACAGACTTCCCTTCCTTCCCCAACCTCTGATCTGGCTGTGGTGTCACTGTGTCAGGAATCTAGTTGGGAGGAAAAACTTTAAACGATTAATATCCAGCGTATCAGTAGAACATGTTTCTTCTATGAAAGAGAGACACAGAGCCCACATGCGTTCCTCCTACTACAGGCCCAACCATTCCTTACCTTCTTCCATATGGCAGCATGTTGCCACCTCAGATGTCGCCAGAGATTCACTGTGTGTTCTTCCCTGCCAGTGTTTTCCTTCGCGTTGTAAACGAAATGGCTCCATACATTCAGGCGTTGTTTTCGCCCAGCTCCTCCAATCACACGCCGCTATCTGAGCCCCACGCAATGATTGGGAAGTTTAGCTGGGATACACCTAAACAGAAATTAATAAAGTCCTTATCTTCTGACCAGCTAAGACAAAACTAATATAAAATCATGCCAATAGATGATATATGTAAGGCACGCTTGCTTTTATGCAACTTTAAGCTTTTTTCAATTTTTAAGATATTTTTAAAGACAACAGTTGGGACTTTTCTTCAATAGCTTCCAGGTCATGTGACCTACTGAAAATTCTTTGTGAAATTGTTTTACTACATTAGCCTGATGGGGCACACTCATTTATATTCCATTTTAAGCCTTTGTATATAAAAAAACAACAACAACATTTTATTACAAAAATAAAAGATATTTCTTCAATATCTTCCAGGTCATGTGACCCACCAACTCCAAATCTATGTCAGATTCTTCTACTACTTAAGCCAGATGGGGCACACTCCTTTTTATTCCATTTCAAGCCTTTGTATGTTTTTGGCAGGCCGGGGGAAGCATCCTCTGTCAGGATGATGGCTGATGTTTTCCTCATAGATGGACGGTGACACACTTCAATTCTCCTCTTCTTCTGTATACTTCCTCTGAAACATACGCTCCGTCCCTGGCTGGTTCCGGACCGGCACCAGCCCCAGAACTGATGGCTCGGTTTGAATGCCTGGTCCAGTCCAGTCATAGGCCCAGTAGCCCCCCCAATAAAAAAAAGCATCCTCCTTTTCAGAAACCCAAATCTGGTCACCCTAGGTACCACACAGGAGGTCTCCAGGAGAGTGGGAACCATCCCCAGACTGAGGCTTTGATAGTAGATGTAGCTGAGGACCTTCCAGAGCTCATGAGCTCCGTTCTTCAGTACTTCCTGCTTCGTTCACCTTTAATAGGACTGATCCCTGCAGTGGCATCTTCACAGGTCTGCCTAGTGAGTGGATCAGACCGTCCTTCCTAGCTTTCTGTATCTCAGAAAATAGAATGTAAAATCCCTCAGGTAGTCTATGTGTCACTGAATGGCTGAGCTCCACCATACATTACATTCTGGTTGGCAGGGGATCAACAGCCAGACCTCTCAGGTCTGCTGGGTTAGAACTAACATGGAGAAGCAGCTTTAGTTCTTATGCTCCATTACTCTGGAATAACCTGTAAATGTGCTGAAACCCTAAAACATTGAATCTGAAACATATTTAAACTGTTCTGGAAGATTAGCTATTTTTTTTTTTTTACAACAGCTTAAATATATAGCAAAGTTTGTAGGAGATCTAAAACAATAACATGGTGTATGTTAACCAGGTGATTACTTCCTCACAGAATTTCACAGTAAAAGGGCAAAAAAATCCAACAATTGAATTATTTCACTATTCTCTCTACAAAAGAGACACGGTTCTATTTCAGACTTCAATCAATGGAGGTCAATGGAAGGTCCCCACAGGGGACAGCATGCAGTGATGTGTAAGGCGCTGTAGGGGGCAGCAGAGAGTCAACCAGCGGATGTTGTTTACAGAAGAAGAGGAGGATGAAAGTGCGTCACCGACAGTCTGAGGAAAACATCCGCCATCATCCTGACAGAGGAGAACTGATCAGCCATCATGGGAGCCGTTCTGGGTCTGTGCTCCATGGCCAGCTGGGTAAGAACGCCGACAATCCGAACCAGATTCTGGATCCGTTTTTGCTGATATGATTTTCAGCTCTTTGATGACTGTAGTTAAAAAGACGGTAAAAACCGCAGACAGGTGTGACGCACATTGGGGTGTTCGACTAGCAGACATGTTGCTGCAGCCCAGCTGGGCTCCTCAGGGATCAGAAATGTCTCTGTCCTTCACCTGCTTTGTTTCCCCAGATCCCCTGCCTATGTGGCAGCGCCCCCTGCCTGCTGTGCCGCTGCTGCCCCAGCGGTAAGAGTTCCACCATGACTCGCCTCATCTATGCCTGCTTCCTGCTGCTGGGAGTGGCTGTGGCCTGCATCATGTTGATGCCTGGCATGGAGGCCCGCCTCCAGAAGGTGACTGATCATTTATACCAGTATTCTCACTTTACAAGACAAATTAATGATAAGTAAATACTGATTAATCGAGAATGATTTATAAATCTGCCACCAAATAAATACATTTCCTATAAAACATTCATACTCTACATTTTACCACCTATTGTTTGCTCTGGGTAACATCAGTGACCAGAATCTCCACACTAAGCAAACAACTAACTTTAAAGTCCTAGGGATGACATATTTAAATTTTAAATCATTCTGGCTTAAACATGTATGTAAATGTATTCTTTATCAGACCATATTCTTTCAAAATTTAGAAAAATTCTATCCTTAAAAAAAATTCCTGTCTTAAAATCTGTGGGGTTTTTTCATTATCTTCTGCAGGCCAGTTAGTTATACGTCAGCCTGAACACCTAAATTTGGCAGAACTGGCAGCGTTGCGAGGCAAGGGCTCAAACATGTACGGCTGGAAGCCTTCTACACCAAACCAAGCTTCTGCCACCCTGGCGTCCTCTTCCACAACATCTTCGTCCCCGCTTTCCTCCTCTAAATAAAAAATGGATGACGGAGGAGACTCATCCACAACCTCCGACACTAAACTCTCCTCCTCTTGCATGTTTCCTCTGTCCATAGCGTTCCTTGACAGCGTCGTTTCTAAGTCACCAATTTAGTGCTACTTGGTCCCAATGGAATTTCCCATTGGGAATCTACTAGCACTAAGTTGCTAACTGGTTAGCAAGATGCTTCCAACAAACCGGCCACAACAGAACTTGCTTGCAAACCTTCCGCCAAAACAATCCCGCCCCCTTGATAATCGACCAATCACATTCACTTTATTCACTCGTGTAAAGTCGTGCACCACTCGAGAGAATTCAGAAATGCAACGGTTGGAACAGCCGCTTCCCTACGACTTTAAACTGAAACCTAAACATGGAGCCTTAATGGTAGATTTGCTGCTATGGACATGTGATCGTTTCCATTCATCGCTGTTGGCAGCTGCTTCTATCATTCATTTTCACAACCTCTGTCTATGGACTGAAACAACCCGAATCCAGGTGGAGGTATCAGATGCATGACAGTGACATTAACCTACGATTGGCTGAACAGGTGCCACATGATCTAAAACATTGTGGTTGCCCAGACAACAAAAAAATAACAATGCAGCGTCCATGTGCATCTGTAGCATTAGGGTGTCTAATGACCGATGAAGTTATATCTGATCGATAACAAAACAGAAAAAATCTGTTTCTGGTGAACAAAGTAACTGTTAGACCATGATATAAAGGGAGAGCTGGGTATCACTGTGGCTAGCTGTGCTAGTAGCTAACAGGTTAGCCTCTTTTAGCTCCATCAGTTAGCCATTTTACGCTACACTACTTTTTAGTGTCAACATCAACCGATGTTTTTTTACAAGTAGAATAACTTTTATATGTCTGAAATTTCTACAAAATAAATTTTTAAGATGTCACATTTTTGTTTTCTATTTTTTGCTACTTTAGATCGCAGATTAAACGTAAAATAATAGCAAATATGGGTAATAATATGTTGAGTGATCTGATTCTTCAGAAACAGGTGCAATACTGTTTGTCCCGGTGGAGTTGCCGTATGATGACATCATAAGGGTAGGGCCCCGAGCAGATCTGGTGCCTACACCGGTCCTCTAATGTTGACCTCTGACGGAGTGGAACTGTTCTGAAATGCCTTCAATCATCATAAAGCCTTGGTGATCCTAAGCCCTAATGTTGGTTGATCTTAAAAGAATGCAGCTCTTGCAGGTGTCTCAGTTTGGGGCCAGTTGTGTTCACTAATTAGTGAATTAATCCTGGATGGATTAAGGGGGTGTTTCAGCTCACTCGGCGAGACCAGAGAAGTAAAAGGAAGCGAAGATCTCGACTCTTCTAAACCCAGCTTCTGGGAAGAACACATGATGTGTTTGTAATTGGTCACTAATCTCAGAAACTGAGCATCTGGGGGAACTAAACCATCAAGCACTTCATATGGACCCTTGGTGTGCTCCAAGGACTCTTTAGGTGATCGTTGATGCTGAGCTGCAGGATCTCTGTGTTTCTGTGTCCCTGTAGATTCCAGGCCTCTGCGAAGGAGGAAGCGGTTCAACCTTCCATGTTATAGAGGGCCATGTCAACTGTGACGTCCTGGTGGGCTACAGGGCCGTGTATCGGGTTTGTTTTGGGATGGCCATGTTCTTCTTACTCTTCTCTTTGCTCATGATTAAAGTAAAGAGCAGCCAAGACCCTCGAGCAGCGCTTCATAACGGGTATGTCTAATAACGCTTCAATATCACCTGTCTGGCCAAACTAATCTCTCTCCAGTGACAGTCGAGGTTTCTACAGAATGTGCCTCTATATACTCTGCACAAGTCTCATTATGGCGTCAGGGTCATGATAAAACTGTGTCACCAGTGCTCCATGGATGTATTGGCGTTGTTGGGCAGTAGCGCTGTCAGTAGCTTAACTACCTTTGTCAGTAGTGTTGCTGTTTTCTACATCAAACAGCTTATCTGCAGTGGAGCTGCTTCCTGACCGAGTAGGAAGCAGCAACATGCTACGTTTTCCCATAAAGAAACAAACATGGGGGAGAAGAGCAGCAGTTTAATTAAATTGGCATTCCTATCATCCAGGTTTCCGCCCTACACTGTGAATAAAACGCTGCCTGATAGTCGCCTGGTGAAGTTAGTGTAGGGCTGGATGGAGAGGATGAAGAGAGCACATCCAGTTAGTCACAGTCAGAGAAACAGGACTACACTGAAAAACAGGCTGATCTCCAACATCTATAAACAAAGGTGTTGATGGCAGCAGCAAAGCTGATATTTCTCTCCAGGATGGAGTCACAGCCAAACAGGAACAGACCAGATGAAGCTACTATGAGAAAAAGCAGAGAGAGCAGAACGTAGAGATTGAACTAACAGATTCTGCAGAGTGGGAGAATAGAGAAAGAATGATGAAAAAGGATTCCCTATGCCCTCCAGCAGTCTAAGCCTATAGCAGCATAACTATAGAGATAGCTCAGGATAACCTGAGCCACTCTAACTATAAACTAAGACAGGGTGTCAGTTGAAATAGATATTTGGATAGATGGCTTCAGGACAAAATGGGCTAATTAATCTTCTTCTAAACACAGACCATGCATGAATAAACAGATTAATTTAGTCACTTTAATTGAATAGAAACAAAAAGCAATGAGGTTGATCTCGTTTACAGCAACTGATTATACTGACTCACTGAACGTTGCTGTGTTAGTCTGTTGATTATTGATCGATTAGATTAGATTGGTTGATAGATGCAGGATTATTTAAGGATTTTAGAATAAAATGTTCGTTTATGCCTGAAGTTAGAAAGTTTAACAGAAGTGTTAGTGGTGATGAGATAGAAGAGTCTGATCTGTTAGTTTTTAGACAGCAATACTTGGAAAGAGGGAGGTTTGATTTTAAAACTGGAGCTGAAATAATTAATCAGATTAGTCAAGATTAATCGTTCAGTGAAATAATCATCAACTAATTCAGTTATCGATCGTTAACTGGAGTATAAAGACTCTAAACATGCCTTTAGTTGACAGAGTGACCCACTTAGAGCAGGAATTATACCAAGAGTGTAAAAAATATATATTTATATACACATTTTTCATTAAAGATAAAATAAAAACGGTTTCATCTGTCGGTCTGTTCTATCCAGTGGAAAAGTTTCATTTTCACTTGGTGTAATTTGATAAAGTGTCTTTTTCTAGGAATATTTGGCTAACTGATTATTAATCGATCAATCGGGTAAAAAAGCAACAGATTAATGGATTAGCTGCAGCCCTAGTTAGACAGGAAGCTTGGATGCAGTTAAGCTTCTTTTGTTATTTCCTGTTAGCGTAGCATGCTACATGGCTCTGCTTCAGTGCAGTGAAGCTTATTTTCATGTAGAATAATTTGGAGCTTAACTTTCTACCTTTTGGAAGCGGCTTGTCCAGCTCTGCACATTGTGGAGAACCTATCAGCTAATCTGTTACGTAACGATTATTTATTTAGTGGTTAACTTTGGTGGTAATCCTGTCCATGTCCAATTGATCTGATGCTGTTTGACGCTGACTGGCTCTTCTGTGTTTTTATTTATTTCCAGATTTTGGTTTTTCAAGTTCATAGCAGCTCTTGGCATCACCATTGGATCGTTTTTTATCTCAGAGGGACCTTTCACCACGGGTAACTGTCGCTTTCATTCACTGCCATTTTTATTGGATTGTTTGCTACAGAAATGTGTCCAATTACAGAGAAGGTTCTGTTCAATCCAGATGCAACAAGTTTCACCAGGAATCCAATGTTTCTGGGTAGTTTATCACAGAAAACTTGAAACATGAATAAAGAGCCATGATCACCGTTTTGTTAAATCTTGTTGATCCGGTGATTTTATTGGCAGTGTTAAAATTAGCTACACAGCTATATTTAATTAGAAATTGCTCTGAGTGAAGGCTAGTTAGCAGCTTAGCTATAACCAGCATTCAACCATTGAGGATCTTCATTGACCTTATGTAACCAGAATCACATTTCTTTGATACACCAGCTCAGAATACAGAACAGGAAAACAGACCACCTTAAAGGCGGGCGTACACTGCGTGATGCTCACGCTGTACGACCAAACCACAGGGTTCAAAAGTTCACAGCTGATGATATTTGTGCAGCACGACCCTCTGATGCGATCTACCTGCTCCCGATGTGCGTCTAAAAACCAGGTGGGGCTCAGCTCCACAGTGAGATGGCGCTACTCTGACTCGTCTAACCAGAAGCCAAACCAGTAGGAGAGGAACATGAAGCTCACTAGAGTGAAACACGCTGCCTTGGATATTTGTGCTGAAAGCACTAAAAAGAAAAGGAGACGACGTATTTGGACAAAGACATGGCTGAGCTAACGTGGCTACTACGGTCTGTCAATTTTACAGAAAGAATCCATTTCACTCATTGCCCCCCCGAAGAAGATTCTTGTTTGCCCACTGAGTGATTTTCTCCTGACCTTCTGCTTCCTGATGGGGAGGTGGTCGTTAGAGGCTGATCGCCCCTCGTTCCCACCTGTACACTACACTATGCACCATCAAAAAAAAGCCAGAACCTCAAAAAGGCCGATGGCGTCCCAAAGAAGAGACACAAGTTCAGTTAAAGAGAACAAAGAGACTGAAATTGTGAAGTTGTAATAAGTTTGCAGATGAAATGACATTTTATTAATATGACTACAAATGTCACTTTTAAAGATCTAAGTTCTTGATCAGGCCCAGTTGACCCAAGCTGATTCTGCTGCAGCTGCATGTTTGGCAAACAGGTGCCCTAAAGATGGTTCCTTTTTTCAAAAACAGTGTTGCTTTAGTGTGCGGCCCGTTTCTGGATTTAAAAACTTAAAAAAAAAAAACTTTCAAAATGAAATCTGCTAACTTTTATACTGTTGCACGACAACCTCTGGCCTCCCCACTGCAGACAGGGGTCAGTGACCTGATGGGGATTAAGGTTCTTCATTGTTGGTTTGATTGCTAGTTTCTCTGCTAATGAACTAGCAGACTTTGAAATGAAGGAATTGTTTTATTGTCCCCCTTCTTCTTCCTGTGGCCTGCAGTGCTGTTCTACATGGGAATGGCGGGAGCTTTCTGCTTCATCCTCATCCAGCTGGTGTTGCTCATCGACTTTGCTCATTCCTGGAATGAGTCCTGGGTGGAGAAAATGGAAGAGGGCAACTCTCGCTGTTGGTATGCAGGTAGGAGAAAAGATGACGACTGAAAAGAACATTTTCTCTTCAGATTTCTAGTATGGAAGTTAAGTCTGAGGTTAGTTTATAGGTTTGCATTGTGATACCCAGAAAGTAGATCTTAAATGGCGTCATAAGATCACATCATGTGGGGTTTAGTTTATTACAAACTTCAGGTCATTTTATCTGGATTTTTGTAATAAACCCAACACAAAGTTACAATATAACTGTAAAGTAAAACACAAATAACATTGATTTATTGATTTCTGTATTAACCTTTTTTAATACTTTCTATGCCTTTAATAAACAGTTTAGCTTCTAACTCTCTGGTTGAATCTGCTGCATTCAGTGTCTTTGGTATCTGATCGGCACACAAATATAAAATGGGATTAAAACAGATCTGGACCTGAGCTTTAACCTTTCTGGTTGCTGCTCTGACTCTTTAGGCCGGGCTTTACCCTGAAGCTGCACTCGTTGTTTTTTATTCATCTATTTTAATTAGTTTTTATAATCTCTCAAATGTAGGAAATAGTTTTTACGTGTGAGACACAGAGACAGAAGCTAAATAGATCTGCTCACCCTGTATGCAGAACATGTGGTAGGGTGGTACCATCCGGTGGGTTCACTGGGTCAGAAAAGAGACATTGGAGAATGAGGAAGTTCAGGATAGTTTGGCAGAGGGAGGATGGATCCCTGAGCTCTAAGCTTGTTGACCTCTCTGGGTTGTTTGGTCACAATGCTGCTTGTTCTGCAATAATTGTTTCCTGTAAAGATGAGCCAACTCTTCAACTAGTGCTAGTTTGTGTTAGGGTTAGGGTTAGGGTTAACAAATTTAAACTCTGGCCTTGGTTTGGCCTACAAAACTTTAGCCAATCCACTTTGCCGACTGTCCAAATTGGATTGGCTGCTTCTCTGTCGATCAAACATTTTGCGTACGCGCTGCCATGATGTTTTTATGTAGGCTCCAAGCATAACTCATCCATAGTTTGGCTAATGGTTCGCCATTATGCACAGAGAAATCCTCCTTCGCTGCTGATTCTTTAGCTATTTTTTACTCTTAAGGGTAAACTGGAGCATGAATGGCCAATAATAACAATCCTGACAAACCGGAAATATCTGTGGAAGCTGGGGTTAGGGTTGGATTAGTTCGTTTTTATGCATTAGTTTTTATCTGTAGACCCTTATGGATGAATGAAATATATTTCTCCAATGAGAGATCAATAAAGTTACAATGTTATGATTATTGTTTATAACTCTGGATTTAACCCCTCCCCTTGAGGAGCAGTGGGCTGCCATTGTGCGGCACCTGAGGAGCAGTGTGGGGTTAAAGGTCTTGCTCAGGGACCCACAATGCAGGCTGTGGGAGTGGGTTTCAAACTCACAACCTCAGGATTCTAAGCCCTAACCACTAGTCCCCCATATTCTAAGACTGGATTTATAATTCGGCCTCAGGAACGATTCAAAGGCAGGAAGTTGAAGCTTTATTTTAGAAATGCTGCTTTATTAATTGTGCTTTGGTGCTCATGGTGTCCATGAAATGAAGTTGGTGGTTGATGTCTAACATGTCTATATTGGTAAAAGTTTAACCACTATTATTTTCAAGTGACTGCTGTGTTTAATGTAAATAAACAAAACGGTGCGCCGGCAAAACATTTCAACAACATGCAGTTTTTTTTTTGTTTTTTTAAAACAATGTTTTTATTTAGAAAAACATTTCCGATGAGTCCGCCATTTGAAATCCCAAGGTACGTTTTGGCAGCAGCAGCGAAAAAACGCTCTAACAAACGAAGTAAACATAACGCTGGTAGGAGTGAATACTGTAACAAGAGACAATCAAACATTTTAATGTACTCTATAAGAAGTATGAAAGAAAAAGGAGGAAAATGGTTCAAAATCTTAAAAAGGAAATAATAAACTTTGATTTAATAGAAAGAAATCCTTAGAAAGAACTCAAGAGATGAGTGTAACTTGCTGTGATAACTGACTAGCTGCATCCTGGCACTTTGCTGCCTCTATAGGTGAAATACAGAATTACCGGCGTTTCCAGTGCAGGGAACTTTTGGGTTGGAGAGGGCAATGATGCATACACACAATTCAAAAATTCACACACAACCATGGAAAATATCTTCCACTACAGAATCCTCTTTTTGATACTTTCAGGGTTGTGAATCCGTGGAGCAGCTCAGTGTGTCTGTAGTCGTGCCTCCAGTGTTTATAGTAACCCTAACAGATCTGAAATGAGCTTTGCTCTGCTTTCACAGCCCTACTTTCAGTCACTGCACTGAACTACCTGCTGTCCCTCGTCTCTCTGGTCCTCTTCTACGTCTACTACACCCATTCTGAGGGCTGCACTGAGAACAAGGTCTTCATCAGCATCAACCTGCTTCTCTGCGTCTCGGCCTCCGCCATTTCCATCCTACCGCAGATTCAGGTAACCAGCACTGACCTTTGAAGGCCTCGAAGGCTGGGTGTGATCAGTGATGTAGAGAGCCGCCTAACAGTCTGCAACTTGTTTAAAGTTTAAACAATCAGTGAAAAGTTTTACAGCATCATTTGCTTCTAATGACGGCAGAAAGACGGCAGTCAGTCTAGACTGCCATTAAAATGAAATAAATATTTGTTCTTGAATTAAGGAGGTTGGTGAGACACTTTGTCAATGCAACAAGATAATTTATATTGAAAATGAGAAAAAAATAATTGCATTGTCTTATTTTAAGTGCATATTATCTAAATATCTTATTTGAAGAGTAGAAACACTCATTCCACTGGCAGATCATCTTATTTACCTGCTCAGATTAAGGCTAAATACACTTAATTTAAGGAATATTTCTTATTTCTTCATGTTTTTTACCCTCTCCACCAGATCAGAGCTAATCTGTAGTTCTTTAAGGTTCTCACAGCTACCTGCTAGCTGAACCGCAGACATTCACCCAAACTGGATGGGTTATGATGGTCACCAGACCACCATCACGCTTAAACGTGTAGAATAACCCAACAGGATCACTGTAGAGATCCTGTTGTAAATCAGAACTATTTTGCAGCTTTTCTCCTATTAACCTTGGATTAAAGGTGTTCAGACATTCCCAGCATGAACACATTTTCTAAAAACTAGGTGTCTTCAACAACGGCTGAATGTCAGCGTAGATTTTAAAGCTAGAAGTCCTTCCAGGAAAGCTGCTGTCCTCCAACATCAGCCCGTTTGCAGGATATCCTCCTCAATCAGAAATGCTATCATTTCTTGTATGTTTTTTTTGCAGAGTTTGGAGCTGATGCTGTGTTTCTATGGTTACTAATTGTCTGTGTTGTTTTGAAGGAGTCCCAGCCCAGGTCTGGCCTGCTTCAGTCCTCCCTGGTCACCCTTTACACCATGTACCTGACATGGTCTGCAATGACCAACGAACCAGGTGATGACTCATGGCTCTGTGGGTTCTAGTTAGCAGATCATCACCATATGAACCCAGGATAGCTGCAAGTTAGTGGCTTCCAGGTTTCTGTATTCAGTTTATTTCAGGAATGTTTTTAAATAGAGTGCAATGTTGGAGCAGAGAACAGTAAGCGCTGGCCCTGCAGACAGTAGGTCACAGCGACTAGCCGGCCGTCATTGATGGAGTAACAGCAGCGTTTTAAATGCGATCCTCTCTGCTCCGGTTAAATCCAGAGGGCTGCAGCTCGGTGTTTGACGTTCAGCACCCAGCCTTAGTTCTAACGGACGCTCAGAGCAGATCAGTGATGATGCTCCATCCTCTGCCCCACAGTCACCTGGATGCTATCTGAGTTTCTCTCTCTGTGTTTTGCAGACAGGAAGTGTAACCCCAGCCTGCTGGGTATTATTGGGTTGAACGCCACCAGCACCCAGGCTCCAGACCATGTGGTCACATGGTGGGATGCTCAAGGGATTGTGGGACTGCTTCTTTTCCTCATGTGTGTCCTGTACTCCAGGTGAGCAGCACCTTCACGCTCCTGGTGAACATGTGGCTCCTCCAGGCTGGGCTTTTGTCTGCAGCACAGCTGATATTTCTCTCCAGGGTGGAGTTACAGACGAGGCAAAGCTACAATGAGAACAAGCAGAGACAGATTGAACTAACAGATTCTGCAGAGTGGGAGAATAGAGATAGAATGATGAAATAGGGGTCCCTATGTCCTCCAGCAGTCTAAGCCTATAGCAGCATAACTATAGAGATAGCTCAGGATAACCTGAGCCACTCTAACTAGAAGCTTTATCAAAAAAAGTTACATGCCTACCCTTAAAAGT